AAATCTTTACACACGTAGGCCACGAATAGAAGATGTGTTTGTACTACAGAGCACTGACCTAAAATTGACGCCTAAAATTATTTATTTTAATTTATTTTTAATTTATTTTATAATTTAAATTTGGAGTCGTCGTGGCCTAATCGATAAGACGTCTGGTGCATTCGTATTTTGCGATGCACCGGTGTTCGAATCCCGCAGGCGGGTACCAATTTTTGTAATGAGATACGTACTTAACAAACGTTCACGATTGACTTCCACGGTGAGGAAGAACATCGTGTAATAAAAATCAAACCTACAAAGTTATAGTTTGCGTAATCACTGGTGGTAAGACGTCTTGTGAGTCCGCACAGGTAGGCACCATCACCCAGCCTATTTTTGGCGTCAAGCAGTAATGTGTTTCGGTTTGAAGAGTGGAGCAGCCGTTGTACTGTATACACTGAGACTTTAGAACCCATATCACAAGGTAGGTGGTACCATTTACGTTGTATATAGATGTCTATGGGTTCCAGTAACCACAGATGTTAAGACATCAGGTAGGCCGTAAGTTCGTTCATCAATCTAAGCAATAAAATATAAAAAAAAATTAAAACTGCACAATTGTTTATATGCGGAGTATAGCTTATACGTGTAATGAAAGGCCAACCATTACCTAAGCAACCAATCCTCATTACAATAATGACTCAATCTTAACTCAAAACAATTCGACATAACCCACTCCGGAACCCTAGGGAAGCTCCCGAAGGAAATATAAATACTGTATTGAAATATCGCATAATGTGTATCGGAATCCCCTTTCCAGGGTAACGTTCAGACGCCCAAACAAACGAGACCTCCTCCGCACCGCGTTTCCCAAATTTATTTAGATAGACGAGGGGCTGCTTAGATGAAGTTTGAAGGTCTCCATAAGTCGGACAAGTCGTAAACGTTCGATAGGTCGGGAGCTACTTATGACTATGAATATTTATAACGTATTAGTCGAACGTCGCTACGCTGCCACCGGTGGCGGTTAAGTTAAGGGGTATGTTGACAAATACTAATATTATCAATAGATATTCGTATTTTACTGGTACTGATGCCAGGGCGTATTGTGAGCATTACAGTTCCGGGCTTAAATGGTAGGACAGACATTATTAAATATATTTGAAATTTAAACAGAAAGACTCGAAGAAAGAATACAAAAATGTCTCAATGTGGATGACGGTTGTTTGTATTGTGTGTGATACACGAATCAAATACAGTGAATGTGACCAATTTTGAGGAAATAAAATTTAATGAGACATTTTAATTAACCAGTTATGGGATTAGATTGAAGTGTTTCAGGTCTTAATCATACGAATAGATTACAAAAACATAGGAGAGCTTCCGAAACATTAACACGTTGGATATTACAAAAATGTGAAAACAAACTTTGTATTTGTGGCCTAATAAATTAAGGTAGAGTACAGGAAATAGGTCAAATCATGGTCAGGTTTTTTTTAATTATTACTACTTAAGGCCACAGGTCATAATATGATGACGTCATGAACTATGCTGCGACTGTCAGGGTGAATCAAACTCCTGGGAAATGACGGATGCCTGTAAAATCGAAAATCCAAATTCCACTTTAAAGTAGTCATTCATTCGTTTCAGAAATTTAAACAACTGTTATGCAATGCAAATTCCTATTTAGAAGAGAGAAAAATTTAGAAGAAATAGAAGAATTTAGAGTCAACACGAGGCTGAAGAGGACTTCACTGTCTGTCCACTAAAATAACAACAGTCAGTGATGATAATTTTTAGATATTCATAAAAAGCTGCAAATTCTGTTGACCATAATCCATTATTACTACATAGTTGGATAAACTAGCTCACGGCCTAACTAGTGTCAAATAGGAGAAGCCCATAGACATCACGAGATGATTACCACCCACCACTTTGAGACGTTTCGAACGACAAAGTTTCAATTATATTATACAGTCTGCCGATCTTCGAGCTGAAACTGCTTCACAACATAACGGTGGCCGGGCGATCTCAAAATCTAAACCATCAATGATCAAATCACTTTTAGAACATACTTACCTATGATATCCTATTTCAGTACTGCACCGAATCTATCCGTAAGTCGTAATAAAAATATACACTCGTCGTCACCTTAAATGCAAATAATAAATGTTTATATAAAGAGTTCCATTTATATTCTAATTTGGTGGGAGTCGGCGGGTAGGTGTTTCCGATCACAGCGACCGTGTAAATAAAGTCGTTAAGCTTAAGCGAGACTTTATCAACTGAAGATGCGGTTACAGATTACGACTCATTTAGATTAAGTAACAAAGGGACTAGTACATTCTTATTTGATATATCTCGCTCTATCTTTCTCTCTCTGTCTGACATATTTTGGATTATAAGATTCTTTGGATATTGAAAGATATTGGAAGAAGAATATATTGGAAGATTTTTTATATAAAGAAAAGGCTAGTTATTAATATTTTCAACGGCTACATTTCAAACCGGAAAACATAATAGCTTCGCGGCAGAAATAGGCAAGATGGTGATTCCCTGGTACAGGCTTGCAATATCTGTAGTAACGGAATTTCATAAATTTCATAAGTACTGATTTATGTTTTACACGGTTATTTCTTCATCTTCTGCACTATGATGCGTAAAGAGGAGACGCATGTGACTAGGAGAGGTACGGAAATGGTAATGCAGTGGGAAGAGGTCGACCGAAGAAGATATGGATGGAGTGTGTGAATGACGATATGAGAGAGAGAGAGTAGTGAGTGTTGAGATGAGGGCTGATAGAAGAGAATGGAATATAAAAATTCGCTGTGCCGACCCTATCTAGTGAGATATACTTGAGACCTTAGAACTTATATCTCAAGATGGGTGGCGCATTTACGTTGTAGATGTCTATGGGCTCCAGTAACCACTTAACACCAGGTGGGCTGTGAGCACGTCCACCCATCTAAGCAATAAAAAAAAATCGAATAATCCGAGACTAGCTTAAAGAGTACACTTTTCCCAATTAAACACTCCCCAATATCTTCAAAGTCACTTGACTTTACAGGCGAAATATCGAAATATTAACTCTCAGAAACCGACACCCATAAAAATTCGTGCGCGGATTGTTTTAAAAAGTTCTAAATCTTGTAATTTTCACCACAAGCAAATGTGGCCCCACCTGCCCGCGGTCCGCAGATATAACAACAGATGGTATTTCTTCACCTTGAAAGTCACTCGTGAATACATGTTAAGTGTTTTCTGCTTTAACAAATTTGGTGTGTCTGTGAGGTTTGAATCCCGACATAGTCGCAATTCTCGATATCGAAGAGTATCGAAAGTATTATCTTTCGTTAACGAAGACTTATCAGCAGACTCCTCACTCAGCAGAGTACTCGTCCGATGCATATGACAACATCTAGTCGGGCTTGACCAAGCAAGGGGTTCGATGTTAATGGCGCCGAGGATTGCCAACCAACCAATAAACCCACTCCCAAAGAACAGCATTTCAGTCATGTTATCAATACATCTGAACCTTCAAGGGTATTCCCGTGGTGAGCATGACATCAGGTGACAATCATTGACACATATTATTATATAGTTATAAATACTTCAAGATAAAAACGTTTTGTTATCAAACATGGGTAAGTTGGTACTGGAGTTCATACACATCAATTTAAGACACGGTGCTGAAGTTGTTAAGAAGAATACAGAGTAGAAAAGTAGAATAGAAAGGAATAAACAATATTCGACTTTTCAATATTGCAGTATCTTTACCAGAAAATGAAATGACATGTCTATTCTGTTGTGGTTCTAGGGCAAAGGTTGTTTGAAGCGGGTATATAAATAGACTTAAGATTTAATTGTAAAATTACGACGCATCAGATCTCAAAAATAAGGATAGAAACAAGCAATATCTTAAAAAATCAACGATTTATCTTTAGGCATACATGTTAGAGTTGACGATTATCAATTGTATATCGCACTTGCTAATCTAAATTGTTAATCATTTTACGTCGTCTGAACTCCAGTAAGACATATACATTATTCACAACGTATTTATTTCAATATGAAGGTCATTTAACATATTTATTTAGTCTAATTCAATCTATTCTAGTCAAGGAAGCTTGACTGTTTGATCATTAACAAAATTGGACTTAGAGTATTATGAATACCATTCCTTTTTTTTTATTGCTTAGATCGGTGGACGACCTCACAGCCCACCTGGTGTTAAGTGGTTACTGGAGCCTATAGACATCTATGCCGCAACGCAAATGCGCCACCCACCTTGAGATATAAGTCCTAAGATCTCAGTATAGTTACAACGGCTGCCCTAGCCTTCAGACCGATTACTGCTTCACGGCAGAAATAGGCACTACCCATGCGGACTCACAAGAGGTCCAACCACCAGTAATAATTACTTAGGGTATTATTTAAACTTTGGCGTATCAATTTGTACATCTTTAACGGTGCGCGCAAAACAATAACTCTGATAATGCACTGTGGCTCAGATCAGAATTTAAATGTGTTTGCATAAGGGGTTTTCAGGGTTTCACTATATATCTGCCTGTCCAACTTACCAACTGTTACGAGAAACACTTCTCAATATTGGCCACGTTATCTTCAATAAAACACTGCGAAACAGCACTAGACTGTGATTTTTTATTCAAACCAATTCGAATTTTACAATCTTAAAATTATTTAAGTGACCAATCGTGTAGTATTACGAAAATATCATTTAACGATATTGCTTGGTTGTGGCTCGATACTAATATCGATACAAAGAACTGTTCAACCAAACAATACATAGATAACAGAAAAACAATTAAAGCCACGTTGTCAAACATTTTAAAACGTGCCGCGTTAACACATAATTCATCAAGCATTTTTATATGTTCATAGTTTAAGATCCATGAACATATCATAGGTCACATACTAATTTGTAATATTGTTCAACTGGCTGTTACCTTTTTTGTATTCATTTAGATGTTTGCATACATTATTGACAGCTCTTTTACTTTCTAAGCTGCATAGCCCATTAACTGGAGCAGTGACTTATCCTTGACAACGAGAGGAAAAAGATTTTCATCGTCTTTCCCTACTCCGTTTTCCTTGTTCTCTTCCACTGGGTTGTTGCGCTCTGAGACGGGAGGCTCAGTCTTGAATGTAGTTGAATCTGTAGTAGTAATCGTTGAATCAGTAGAAGTTTGAGCATCCGTAGTAGTAATTGTTGAATCTGTAGTAGTCTGACCTTCTGTAGTAGTTGTTGTGTCTACGTTGATTGGTGTTGTAGTTTCCAGAACAGAAGACGTGGTCAAACGGTGCCTGAGATCGTCCACCTCGGCCGTGAGCCGATTCCTCTGCCCGGCCAACGCTAACGTCGAAACAAACAAACAGAATGACAGTAATGAAAGAAACACTATCGTTTTGTTGTTCAACATCCAACCCAGAGTTCTTTCCGTGTAATACTTGCACGCGGTTGAATTCATTTCGTATGATTATTACTCTGGATTCTTTTCGATTTAATTCTAATAAATATTCCAGCACGTCCCAAATGTTTCGTCACTGTTTTCGACTGACTATTTTATCGCATCGATATCTATTTTCCCCTATCGATATACAGTTTGTACAGATAACTATCGTCACTTTTATCGCCTTTATCTGAATCCGTTCGATGTAATTTTACTTTTAAAGGTTTATCTGTAGGGTCTAGTTTGGTTCGCGACCGTTGATATTCATTATTTTCAAGCCGATTTCCACATTATTCAGCATAGGAGATTTAATGAAAAATAACGATAGATTTGCTCGTAAAAACTCACTTTAAAATGACGATTCCATTTGCTGGTGGTAAGTGTAATGTCAGTAAGTGTAATGTGAGTAAACGAAGGTACTACTATCCACGCCTGATAGTTCGAACAATGGAGCAACAGTGTAACATTACAATTGAATTCTCTCAACATCAGGTCTCATAGTCACGTTATGATATCTACGAACTCCAATTTTCGCCTAACACAAGATGGCTCTTGAGTTCTTTCATATACCCAAGCAATAATAAAAAAATTGTGTAAACTATGTGTTAATTATTTTTTTATTCCATGAGTAATTTTGAACTCTACCCAAACGTAATAAACACTAAGTGTGTGTTACGTCACGAATTTGCTCCGTCACGTTTAAGGTTAATGACGTCATCAGAATGACAGATTGCACGAATTTATTTGAAACCCTACGAACCTCGCCCTATGTCTTCAAATGAAGTAATTTCTAAGAATAATCTGACAACGCTGTAATCCTTTACTAGAACTTCCAATTACAATACAATTAAAGATACCCAACTCCGAATGTGAAATGGTAAGAATTTTTAGATTAATTTAGACAGAACATTTCATTCGATTTTCTTAGCTATTGCATCACTTTACGTATTAATATAGAACGTACATACTATTTAAGTAATACGTATTCTGAAGGATAGACAATAAAACAATTAGGTTTTTCGTATCCGAAAAAACCCTAGGAACAATAATTAATCCTTATCTTTAGCGCTTGCTATCTGTAGTTGCATGAGTCTGAAAATACTTTTTAGATTTTTGAGTTGGAATTTCGAGTCGAGATATCGCATGTCAATTGGACGTAATAAAGTGTGTACATGCTGAACGTCACATTTATAGACAATCGGGGAAAAATGACACCCAGTCATGTAGCTCAAAGCGAGGATACCCTGTAGTATGGGAACCAAAGACTTACTACATACACACTTATTTAAATATATAAATGTGTGTGTGTGTGTGTGTGCGTGCGTGCGTGCGTGCGTGCGTGCGTGCGTGCGTGCGTGCGTGCGTGTGTGTGTGTGTGTGTGTGTGTGTGTGTGTGTGTGTGTTCGGCATTTTTTTAATATTTCTTCTGACGCATTCATTCCACTGACATTAGTCTTTGACATTCACAGATAACTAATTATATCGAGTAGATATAGATAATAAAAACCATCAATTTCTGATAAAGTTTAAACAAATAGAAACAAAAAGTTATATTTATATAAATAACAGAGAACAAACAAACCTTTTCATCACAGGTATGCTTGCCCCAAGTGGGAATCGAGCTTTCGGCCCGGCAGTCAAGGGTGCGAACTGCTGCGCCATCCAGTCAATTAAACGAAGACACCATCGGAGACAAGACGGCATCGATCGAGCGATCAATCGATTCAGCCGTGACAACTCGATAAAATTATATTTATTCGTATTTATTATGGAACTATATTGAGGTTCGAAAATCATTTCGATTTCGTCAAAGGTACAATGTAAAACCAACGTCGTCCTCATCCAGCGCTATAGGTCGGTGTTATTCACGAGTGCGCTACCGTGCCATTCCCTTATCTAACAGCGTTCATTCCTCACATCGAACCAACGACAGGCCATATTTGTCTCGCTACCGGATGTACCGAACCCTTTGTATTATGGCGCAACCTCCATTCAACATGTATTCCGCGAACATAAACGCCTTTTTTTTCAATTTCAACTGAGCATTTTCTTATTTCGTTCGTAGCCATCCTTGATTTCGAATTGAAGATTTTTTGCTCCTTTTTCAAATGTATTCATTGTTGTTCTACAAAGCGTGAAACGAAACGCATATGCTATTTCTTTCATAATTATTATCTGTGCATTTTTCACCCACACTCACGACTTTGGCGCCACTTTTTAAAATTTTCAAATATTTTATCTAATTATTATTGTCTGATTACAAGTATATAACATCACTACCACAAACCGACTTATTATTTGTCCCTAGCATGGAAAATTGCTTACAAAACTTTGTTTTCAATTCTCGTAACCGAATGTCGATTTTGTTTAATGATAGTTAATTTTTTTCACAACACCATTCCAGTCTAACACGAAAAAAGAAATTCTCCAAAACTTTCTTATAACACGTTACTTCTACAGCACGATAACGATATTTTTGTTTAAAATTATTTAGGAAATTACATTATGCACTATGAACACACACTATATGGGAATAACCAAAATTTCGCTGCTTATTTTTTAATATGAGTCGACTATTATCAAAGGCGGCAATCTGACTTTTGGACAATGATTGGTAAATCAGAAAAACGAATTATTGACTTTGTATTCCATTGGCAGTCACAAAACTCTTCGGAACGACATCTTAGATAAATAACAGGTTAACTATTAACCTTTATTTAATGCAGGTTTTGAACCGTATTCTTTGAAGGAGACGATTATATTCAAATAAATCTGTATTGACATATCAATAAAAAAAAATTGTCCAAATGTACAGATTGCCACCTTTGATAATAGACGACTCATATATAACACGTAAAATAATACAAAAAAGTATAGTTGAAATGTTTCATTCAGAAAAATTACACTCCTAACTGTAATGGCTTCTAGTCTCATACAACACGGCTTCGTATAACACGGGACTTTGTAGGAACGTATCTACCGTGTTATAGGAAGTCGTCGTGGCCTAAAGGATAAGACGTCCGGTGCATTCGTGTTGAGCGATACACCGTTGGATTTTTTCGTTGGATGCGGAAGGCGGAGGACCGCATTATGTGGAAGGCATTAGGGAAGACCTATGGCCAGCAGTGGGCAGATAAAGGCTGATGATGATGATGATGATAATGCACCGTTGTTCGAATCCCAGGCGGGTAACAATTTTCCTAATGAAATACGTACTCAACAAATGTTCACGATTGACTTCCACGGTGAAGGGATAACATCGTGTAATAAAAATGAAACCCGCAAAATTATAATTTGCGTAATTACTGGTGGTAAGACCTCTTGTGAGTCCGCGCGGGTAGGTACCATCGCCTTGCCTATTTCTGCCGTGAAGCAGTAATGTGTTTCGGTTTGAAGGGTGGGGCAGCCATTGTAACTATACCGAGACCTTAGATCTTATATCTCAAGATGGCGCATTTACGTAGTAGATGTCTATGGGCTCCAGTAACCACTTAATACCAGGTGGGCCGCGAGCTCGACCACCCATCTAAGCAATAAAAAAGAACTTTAACATAGCATTCGCAAGGAAAAAATTTGCTAGAAATCTTTGGAAAATAATCGCATCAATGCATTTTATCTTCGTGTGAACACGCGAAACTTAAGCTTAAGATAATCTCATCGGAAACTCTTCTCGTGTAGATCAGACGTATTACGAAAGGGTCGATTTGCTAAAAACAATATCGCAAAATAAACTCCCGACCAGCATCAAACACATGTCGTGTTGTCAAATGTCATAAACGAAGAACGAACGACTTTAAATCAAAGCACAAGAGAGATAAAAGTGAAATTCAATTGACACGCCCTCGGGGGAAATCAAAACGCGAAGGGCACCTGATTTGATGCTTTGCCAGCAAAATAAATATTTTATTGATGATTGGTCCGTACTTTGATCTCCGTAAACCTTTAATGCTGATTACGGAGTCTACATTTCGACTGATTACAAACATCTCTAGCGAATCGCTATTATGTTTGATGTACGATTAAAAACGTAAAAATAATAATATTAGGTTTACATTAAAATCAATCAAAATAATCAATTCGATGTTTTAGCACAGAGCTTTTTTAAAAGCCAATAAGTTCCATTATTGCGTCAATTAGTGGTACTAATTTGAAATCGACTTTTGAAGTCGCCGTGGCCTAAGCGATAAGACGTCCGGTGCATTCGTGTTGAGCGATGCACCGGTGTTCGAATCTCAGGCAGGTGCCAGTTTTTCTAATGAAATACGTACTCAACAAATGTTCACGATTGACTTCCACGGTGAAGGAATAACATCGTGTAATAAAAATCAAACCCACAAAATTATAATTTGCGTAATTACTGGTGTTAGGACCTCTTGTGAGTCCGCGCGGGTAGGTACCACCACCCTGCCTATTTCTGCCGTGAAGCAGTACTGCGTTTCGGTTTGAAGGGTGGGGCAGCCGTTGTAACTTAACTATACTTGAGACCTTAGAACTTATATCTCAAGGTGGGTGGCACAATTACGTTGTAGATGTCTAACCACTTAACACCAGGTGGGCTGTGAGCTCGTCTACCCACCTTTCAAACCAAAACGCATTACTGCTTCACGGCAGAAATAGGCAGCGCGGTGGTACCTACCCGCGCGGACTCACAAGAGGTCCTACCACCAGTAATTATGCAAATTATAATTTTGCGGGTTTGATTTTTATTACACGATGATATTCCTTCACCGTGGAAGTCAATCTTTTTTTTTTATTATTTTTTGATTTTTATGATTGACGGATTACTGGTGGCTCGGAGGCCTTTCCAGTTCCACCAAGACAGGTGGGCGAGCAAAGGCTCAGCCAGGAGGGGTGGGATTTGCTAACAGCTACCCGAGCGCCTCCGAAGGAGACCTAACAGCTCAAGAGTAGCTGCTTCGCGAATGAATCTACTACCGGATCGGAATCGCGACCCGCTGAGAAGATCCGGCGAGAAAATCAGCGAGTTGATTCATGGGTTAGGTTGCAAGGCGAACTCT